ATAAGCTGTCATATGCAGTCATAAGCTGTCATATACGGTTATACGTGGTCTCACAGAGTCATATGTCAGCACTGACCTCTCACAGTTGGGGCCGCTGTAGCCTCGCATGCACAGACACTGCATGTGGCCCAGGCGATTCACACAGCCCTCTGCAAAACTGACAGGGAGTTAAAGAATAGGGCCAGTTAGCGGAGAAGACAGGGTGCTCTCGATCAGTACAGACCTCCTGTCAGAAAATGGACCACCCTGGCAGAGTCGGGATTCCCCATACAGAGTTTGGACCCCCTCAAATAGGGTGCAGACCTACCTGCAGTGCCACACAGACCTTGCTGAATACCACAAGCCAATAAGTTGGCACCGCACAGAGTGTGTCACTCCTCTCCCCCCACCCCCCCATACGACAGAGGGCCGCACTGACTTGTTCGAGGTGACCTGCAGGGGGCAGGGACAGCTGGTGCAGGAGTGGGCGTGGCCGTCGAGCGTGGAGTTGCCGAGGAAACCAGCGCGGCACTTCTCGCAGTGGTCCCCCGCGGTGCTGTGCTGGCAGTCCTGTGGGGAGAACGGCGTCAGTCTCCGTGGTGAGGCAGGCGGCCGCTGCAGGGGTGTGGCCTAAAGCCTCAGGGCGGGGCCTCGTCACTGACACTCCTCAGGGCGGGGCCTCATCACTAACACTCCTCAGGGCGGGATCATCAGTGGAGAGTATCCCATCCCCTCAGTCAGGAGCCCGAAATCTCCACCGGCACCCCTTCCCCCAGAAATACAGGTACCAGACACCGACTCACATTTTATTTATTTAGCAGAAACCTTTAGCCAAAGCGAAGTACATTTTTGAGAGTCACTCAGCCCCTGGAGCAATTGGGGGTTCAGGACCTTGTTCGGGGGTCCAACGGTAACATCACTCTGCCTACATCCATATAATTACAGGATATGAAATCCCAAAGTCTGTGGGTCCAGCTTGACTATAGGAAAGCAGGCAAAGAGACAGACAGACGGACAGATAGAGCCTGTTACAGATGTCCGTCCTGTTCGGATACACACACACTGTAAATACTCACGGTGCATATCCCTGATCCATCCAGGCAGTGGTCAGAGTGTCCGTTACAGTTACAGGGGACACATTTCCCGAGGAACAAGCCCTTGCCATCCCTGTAGTACCCAGGAGCACAGCGCTGTGGGGGGGGGGGGGGGGGCACCGAAAACACAGCATACCAGTGTGAGGCAGGAGGGAATACAGCAAGTTCGGCCCTGTTACGGCAGCCATGTGTGACCAAAGGCAGATGCGGCTGGACCTGGAATCACACTCCATGGTTTCTGCACCTGAATGGCTTCTTCCCCCAGACCACTGTACTAAACCCAAAAGCTGTTTGTAACCTTGGTGTCTATCCTTAATTTGTCTACATGTTTGTTTATTACTTGTACATTTGAATTCTATTTCTATCTCAATTTTATTTTTGTTCTATTCATTGTTTTTTGTACTGTCTTGATGGTATGTATAACTACATACCCCATTGCCACCCCATTGCCACCACCGTCACCAAAACTAATTCCCTGTACTTTTTTTACTTGCTGAATAAAAGGAATGTTTGACATACGCACAGAAGAAATTTTGAAATATAACATCATATGTTTCAGCATTTAATCATATAACGGCTATATATTTAAGTAACTTTTCATTAATCTTCAAACCGAATTCTATTGTTCTATTTTTAAAAAACAGAAAATATTGTGGTGTGGGTTATACTCCAAAACAGCAGAGGGCGCTATTTAAAGCCGAGTTTGACTTGGCCGGACAGTGGCAAGCGGCTTAGCGTGTCAGAGCACCTGGCAGGAGTCGCCCTGGTAGCTGGCAGGGCAGAGGCACATCTCCACGCTGCTGGCCGGCTCCCCGCTGGAGGAGTGGTTTGCACCCTCCAGGACCGCATGGCGCAGGGACACGGCCAGTGACGACTGAGCGTGCAGAGCGCGGATATGCAGGGCCTCCAGGCCGCTCAGCACCATCATCAGCTCCTCCCGAGATACTGCGTTGCCCGTCTGAGCATGCCTGAAACTTCCCTGGGGGGGGGACAGGGTGGCAGGAGATACAAAGGCAGGGATGCATTACGATAAGGAACAGACTCACAATAAACGGGTGAGATCACACAGGAATGAAAAGCTGTTCTGTATTTATTACCTGTGAGAAAATGTTTAACTTCAATAAAACTGATCCACATTTATGGTAACTTTTCCATTACAAGAATCGAGACTTACTTTCCTCATTTCAGCAGGAAAATGAGAAGTTCAAACCTAAAACTCTGTATAAAAGCTGTAAAACTCCCCCCACATATCCAGTACATACAAATAAACCACAAACACGGATAGCAAAGTACAGTGATGAGCCAGAAACGCTGGAAAGCGTTACCTCCACGAGGTGCACGGCCCCCTTGTGGGGACTGCCGGGATCTGGGTACTCCTTTTCCATGTACACCACGGTCATCTGGCTCCCCTGAAGGCAGACAGACATGTGTGCACCGGCCAGATTTCACCGCGCTGTTCATGCAAACTCACGGGGAAAAAGGCTGTGAATTTAACTCTCAGTTTTAATTATATACCCTGATCTAATTAAATATTTAGTTTTTTATTAATTAAGTTTATAAAATCTTTACTGTCTAAATGTGTGTTGTGTCTGCCATCCATCCATCCATCCATCCATCCATCCAAAGCAGACAGCCAGATGCTGTCGGTACCTTGAGTATGACGTCAGGCCTGAAGGTCTCTGCTGGCAAATCCAGACCGTCGCCCCTTACATGCTGGGTCTGGGAGTCCAGCTGGTAGCGTAGGTGCCCCCCGTAGGACGACACCTACAGGAGCGACGGGGACATCAGGGGTGAGTCACTAAATCATCTGCCCCTTCCGATTAGCCCTGGATGACCTCGGGGGCGGAGCTACAGCGGCAGCCATTGGGAACCTGATATTCATGCCTCAAATGCCCTAATTAGACATGAATTGAAGTATTAATGTCGTGTGCTCCCCGCCACACCCAAAAGCATCCTTTCTTGGCAGTCAAATGTAGCTTTTTCAGATACACTATATGTACAAAAGCACTGGGACACACCTCACAAAGAATTCAGGTGTTTCATTCAGACCCATTGCCACAGGTGTAGAAAATCAAGGGCCAAGCCCTGCAGTCAGGTTCACAAACATTTGTGAACAAAATGGGTCATTTAAGGTTTGGGTTAGGCTCCAGTTTAGGGAACTCTTAATGCTTCAGCGTACCAAGACATTCTGGACTATTCTATGCATCCAACTGTGTGGGAACAGTTTGAGGAAGACCTTATTCTGCTCCAGCATGACTGCGCTCCAGTGCACAAAGCAAGGTCCATAAAGACATGGTTGGATGAGTTTGGTGAGGAGGACCTTGACTGGCTGCACAGAACCGTGACGTCAACCCCATCAAACACCTTTGGGATGAACTAGAATGGAGACTGAGAGCCAGGCCTTCACGTCCAACATCAGTGCCTGACCTTACAAATGCTCTGAACGAATGGCTAAAAATTCCCACACACACACTCCAAAATCTTGTGGAAAGCCTTTGCAGAAGAGTGGCAGCTGTTACGGCTGCAAAGTGGGGACCAGCTCCATATTGATGTCCATGGATTTAGAATGGGATGTCAAAAGTTCCTCTAGATGTAACGGTCAGGTGTCCCAATACTTTTGTCCAAATAGTGTATATCAGCAGAAAACCCCGATCTAGTTAGTTGAAGGTCAGACGTGCGTAAACGAGCTGTAATGTTCTCTGCAGAATGTTGCACAGGCATGTTGTGGGAGAACACAGACTGACGGCACCTTGTCGCCCAGGTAGCTGCGGGGGCCCTGCCAGTGCAGGTCTTGATAAACATCGGGCACGTCCCTCAGGTCGGCCTCCACCAGGTCCTGCTTCAGGTCGGTGTAGACGGGCACTTCCTGTCGGTCTCCAGAATGCAGGCTCCACCCACTCATGTCCTTCAGCTGGAAGACCATGAGCCAAGTACTCAAAACAAAACAGTGAGCTATTTAAAGGCATCACTTGCAGTTGAGGCCATACTGGGGATTTTTTTTGAAGCAGTGGAGGAGTGGAATATATCTGGTAGGGCAGGGACGCCCTCGCTGGGGTCTGAGCACACCCACTCCCCCTGGTCTAGTACCTCGGCCCGACGTTTGTCGGAGCTGCGGCAGCGATCTGTCGCACCGAAGCAGAAGCAGCTGGTGCAGCCTCTGGGGTTAGCAGGGTTCAGGAGGAAGGTCCCAACGCGGCACTGGGCACATCGGGGGCCCTCCACGTTCTCCTGGAGATGGGCGACGGAGGTGGCGGGTGTTAAGAGCCAAAATGCGTGGGTGGAGATGGCGGATGGGGGGCGAGGGGGGGGCTCACCTTGCAGAGGCACCTGCCCGTGTGCGGGTCACACACGTCGTGCTCCGTGCCCTCCTCGTGACAGTCGCACCGGCGGCAGTGTGGGAATCCATAGAACCCGGGCACGCATCGATCACACTGACGACCCACGATGTGGTTCTTGCACCTGAGTGATGAAATAGCGGGAAGTCAGGACTGTCGCAGAATCTCTGGAAGCGTGATGGAACGCCCCCTCCCCCCCCCATTAAGGTCAGGCTGCCACTATGCAGTACCAGGGCGAGTACGGAACCGGGCCGATGGGGTGCCAGCGTGTCCCTGAGCTCTTTCCTCAAAATACACCTGGAATCTGGGGGGCCCTTGGAAGGCGCTTCAGCCCCAGGCAGTACGGAGCGCCCATCATATCCAGACACGTCTCTTGGAGCGAGTCGGGAATGCACACTGACAATGTGGCGTCACGCAGCAGGATTTCCCCCCCCGGAAAAAAAGCAGAACTGCATCGATCTCCCGGCCCCCCATCCTGACAGACACCACCCGTGGGGTCCCTCCCTGACGAAGTCCTGCAGCATCACGGATGACCAGCACAGGGACACGTCCCTCGGGATCCGGAACGGTTCATTCTCACACTCGGGGACTTGGCCAGCAGGCTGGAAAATCTGATTCCCCCAAACTGAAGCACAAGGACAGATAATGTTTCCCAAAATGGCTCCGGGTTATTTTTCACTGGCATGTCGGGAAGGGCAGCTGACATGTCTGCGGGGGCCGGGGGGTCACGGAGAGTCTGGGTGGATATGCCCAAAAAGGGGAAACCCACCAACAGAGTCCCTACTGTGACTGCCACAAGGAGGGGGGGGTGTAGACCAAAAAATGTTGAAATATTAATCTGCCAGAAGACTCTTAAAGGAACCATGGCCAATTACACTAGACTGATGAGCAGCCCCCACGATGCCCACGTCCCGCCTCCATGGCCATGCAGGCCAATTACACTAGACTGATGAGCAGCCCCCACGATGCCCACGTCCCGCCTCCATGGCCATGCAGGGCCAATGAGCAGCCCCCACGACGCCCACGTCCCGCCTCCAGGGCCATGCAGGGCCAATGAGCAGCCCCCACGACGCCCACGTCCCGCCTCCAGGGCCATGCAGGGCCAATGAGCAGCCCCCACGACGCCCACATCCCGCCTCCAGGGCCATGCAGGGCCAATGAGCAGCCCCCACGATGCCCACGTCCC